TGTAAGGACCTGAACCTGAAGTGGCAAGAGGAGAACTCTGTTCCTGGATCTCAGAAATAGCTGTAGCTGTGGGGCAGCTGTGTCCTCAGACAAAGGAGCAGAGCCACTGTCAAAGCAACTGAGCCCAAACAGTAAGAGAGTATGGATATTTCCACATACCTCCCCTCCCACTTTGTGGCCTCCTATGGGTGCCTCCCACTGGCCACACCCAACAGGAAGTCAGAAGGCAAGAGAACCCTAGGGATGAATTCCAAGTGACACTGAAGAGTAGAGAAGGGTAAAGAGTAGATCAGAAGGGGAAAGCATATGATCCAGATCCATTCTTCCAAATACTGTTTTTTCAGCCTGTGTGTGTGTGTGTGTGTGTGTGTGTGTGTGGTGCTGGGGATTGAACCCAGGGCCTTGTGCATGCAAGGCAAGCACTCTACCAACTATTTTTCCAGAGACTTAGCAGTGAAAAGACAGGAAAGGCCTCTGTCCTCATGGAATTCACCATTCTGTGGGAGAATATTGTCAACAAACATAGAAAAAAGCAAAGACAGCACTTTCACATAGGGGTAAATATCAGGAAGGAGAATCAGGGTCATGGACAGGGACTGATTGTGAGAGATGGAGAGTTGTTTTAGACAGAGCCCTTGGGAAAGCTTCTGGAGGAAGTCCTCTGGGAAAGCATTTGAGGGAAGGCAACCTGGACTTTCTAGGAAAGTCTACTTTGAATCCATTTCTACTGCCAGATTTCTTTCTATGAGGTTTATGGGAAAGAATTAAGCCTGGGCTGTGATTTAGATACACCTGGCCAGTCCCCATGAAGATGAGAAACAGAACTAGAATAAAAAAAAAAAAAAAAAAAAAAAAACATTAGCACCACACGAACATTTACATAGAGCTTGTGGTTTCCTCCACAGGGCATTCCTCTTGTCCCTTACATTGTTTATTCTAGCTGTTTGGGCACCAGGAAGTCTGGATGTTAATTCAGTGTCTTACTTCTCTTCAAGAACAGCAAACTCTGAGATGCACTTCCAATTCCTCCTTTATTACATCTCAGTCCTACTCATTGGAAGCTCTGAGCAGAGCAGAATGGTTTCTTTTTCTCTTCCTTGGTGGGTCCACCTGATATGAACGGTGAGATAGTCTTCTCCATATATAACCTTCCTATTCCCAATTTAAAAATTGAAAGATTGCATCAGGGAGGTGAAACGTGTGTCCCAGTAGTTCTATGCCAGCCTCTGATAATACGTGCATTCAACATCTCTGCAGCCAGCCGCAGATCTGCCCATCACTCCCGCTCCCCACTCCTCCTCAATTTCAGGCGCGTCTCCTCTCTTAACTCGGTGGTCTCCAGGCCATTTTTTGAATAGGTAAGATTTCTCAGTCAATAAAGTTAATGCAGTTTTCTTCCCCAGCATTCCCCCGCCCCGTTAATAAAAAAAAAAGTGGGGTGGGGGATAAGACCGGGGAGAGGTTGCGATTGCTAGCCTCTGGGGTCTACATTTTGTATTTCGCTGACAGCCCAGGGCTGCTCCAAAGCCCGCCGCGCAGCCAATGGGCAGCGGTGATTTATGGAGCTGACTAATGCTGGCTGAATGCGGCCTGTCAGAGCGCAGTGAATGGCTTCCCTTCGCCGCACAAGCCCCGGCTTTGTGTTGCTAAGCGATTAGAGCAGATGTAATGAGATTTTGCCCAATCCCTGCTTTGCCCTTTCCTAGCTTCGGCAAAATTGTGTGTGTTTTTGTGAATTTTTCGAGTTTGCCTTCGCATTGTGGCAAACAACGGCTAACTTTGCCGAGTTTTAACGAGACTGGATATCTCCCATTCAGAAGTGGGTAAAAGAACACCTGTCCACACAGGGAGAAGGAAAAAAAAAAAAAAAACTCTTTGTGGGAGCTGAAACATTATCCTAATGTTATATTCATAGCAAAAAATGACTTGCTACACTTTCTTTGCATACCTTATCTGTAAACTTGCAAAGGGGCTAAATTAAATGAAAAAGAAATGGGGTGGGGGGAAGCCCAGCTCTGGTGCTCCAAATAAGATAAAAATAAAAACAGGCATCACAAAAGCATTACTTCCCTCAAGTAAGCTCTAAATTGGCCCACTGCTGGCAGAAAGTCCGATTATTTATGGCGATGAGGAATTTACTGATTTTTTTCCCCTTAATTACGTTCATCTCTTTGAAAGGGACTGAAGCTGCGATGTGCATTCTATAGAGGGTCATTTAGCAAAATGACATCAGACGCTGTGGCGTGCTCCGCGCATCGCGGCTTTAAAAAATGATTATTCTGTGCCACTAAATGGTATAGATGTACCAACACAGACTAGATTTTTAACTCTGGAAGACGTGCTGGCTCCCCGTTCTTTGTTGGGTTTTGTAAGATGCATTTTGCGCTGGGCTTTCCGCTTGGCTGGAGACACGCAAACTGAATCTGCAAGTAATGCAGGCGGCGAGTGAGGAGCCGGCGAGAGGCCCAGTAGGATTCTAATCACGTCCTTGCTAACTGACAAGAAGCAAGCCAGCCAAAAACCCACCAATTTCTTTTTGAATCTTGGTAATTGGGTACTTTTACACGCAGCTCACGCTATTCCGATAGAGTCACAGGCTTAGATAGGCCAGTGTCTCAAGGCGACCACACATTTCTAATGCGTTTATTTAAATCTAATTCCTTCTGCAAGGAATTCATATCATACCTGCTTTTTACTTGAAGTCACCATGGCAAGTGTGTGCATGGGGGAAAAGGACTAGGAAACGTGTGCCTAGAAGTGAGAGAAAAGGAGTACACCCACCATCAAGGCTAAAGTGTGGAAAAGGAGACCTGCCCCAACCCCCCGCCCCCAACCTTCAGCACCTCCTTCCTCCACCCACCCCTCTCTCCACTAGTTCCTCCAGCCCTTCCATAGACTCACAAGGCTAAACTCAGAAAGTGAAGGTCTGAGAGTGGAGGGGAGGGGAGGACCTTCTCTTTCCAGTTGACTTTTTTTGGAGATGTTTAAATGTACAATTTATTAAAGTGAGATACAGCCATTAAATCATATCTTCTCTTGGGAACATGTGTATATTCATAGCCCAAAAAGTAAAAATAAAAGAGGCCCTTTATTTTTATTTATACCTCGAATCTAGTGAAGCCCTAAGCAACTTAGCAGACCCTGTCTCAATGTAAAAACTGGAACAGGCTGGGGATGTGACTCAGTGGTTAAGCATTACTGGGTTCAATTCATTATACCAAAATAAAAAAATATAAAAATAGAGAAACAGAAGAAATAAAATACAGATAATATTTTCCCTCTACAGCCATCACAAAGTTACCATAGGACTAGGACTGGCCATAGCACTTAGTCTGGCCATTTCTGCCACTTAACATGTTTTGGACCACCCTTTTCTCCCCTCCCCCCATCCACCCATTCCCTTTGGTAGTTTAATAATAACTTGGCCAGGGGAGTCAGAGTCAAAGAAGCCTTAGAGACATCTAGTTATTTTAATTTTTAAAAAAAGGAAAAAAGTTTTATTACGAAACTAGTTTGTATAAAACAGGGTTATACATTTTTTTTTGTAAGTTTGTAATAAAACAGTAAGGAAAAAAAAAAAGGCAGTGGTAGAAATTTCCAAAAGGCAACCTATCAAAACCAACTGGTTGCCACTTTGCGTTTGGACAGTAGCTGCATAAACTTTGTTCTTCTTGAACAGTATTTAATAACATCATTAATACATTAAAAACGTTTCTATAAAGTAAGACACATTGGTGCTGAAGTACATCTGGTGGCATTTTGATCTCACCTATGAGGAGAGTTCTTTACAAAACCACATAGGGAAAACGGCAGTCGCAACGTGAACTACACATCTAAAATATGCAGAGGTAATAGCATTACATGTTAAAGTATCAAGATATACACATTTTAAACCATTTGTACAAAACTTCTATAAATTTTTTCTCTTTCTTTCTCTCTTATGTACAAAAATATCTTAATATATCCCCAAACTGGTTAGGATAGATACAAATAGATTTTTCTTATAATAAAAAAAATTCACAAAAGATTGGAAGCCTTCTATGATGAAAACTGTAGAAAAGACAGTATGAGGGAGATAGTAGGGTTTGGGGAGGGGTCCCAGGGAACAGGGGCAGGGTTTCAAAGTACTGAGTATAGCATAGTTGCACTGTGGACAAATCTCCACAGCTCATTGGGATGAGGGTTACTGAGATCAGAGACACCAACCCAATTCTATAGGGCTAAGAACTGCACTTTGAGAGAGGGCGGGGAGGTGAAGGCACCAGGGCAAGTGCTTTCAACTCTTCTTAGCGGTGGGTGGGAGTTACTACAGGGCATGCGCTGCTGTCTTCCTCAGGGAGACCACTGTTTTTGCACACCAGCTGGGTCCTGTGCAGACTTTCAGGTACTAGTTGCTCTTCATATCCCCGTAAGTGATTGGAGTGCAAACATGCTGTTCTGGGCGCATCCTTGTTTTCTGAGAGCCTTGTCTCTCAGGCATTCATCAATCAGTGGGCGTTGGGGCTGGTGGCCTGTTCTTGGTGTGTGTGTGTGTGTGTGTGTGTGTGTGTGTCCTTCTTCTTTCCTTCTTCTTTTATCTCCCTCCCAACATCGCTGATAAGAAAGCATTAAAGATGCAGGTGGTACGGTCACGCTATAACAAACAGAAGAACAGGAAAAGTTAGTGTGAACGTAGAAGATAGCAGTAGAGCACCCGAGGTTTCAGGGAGACCCTGTCAGGTAGAACACCTCTTTTGACAAATCCCAGGACCCTATTCGCCAGCATCTCAGCTCCGCACCCCTTCCCTCCACTCCTTGAATTCCTGGTCTAAGCCACTTTCTCAAGGCAGTGTTGAAACCAACAAACTAGAATTTGAAATGCCATACTTTAACAAATTCTTTAAATAAATAAATAAGACTTTCATGCCGTGGAGTCAGCCTCGCCTTTCACAGACACTCAACAGAAGGATAAAGGACCAAGACTAGAAGATCACCTCAATTTGTCCACCCCCAAATGCAACCTACCTGCTTCCAAAGTCCATTCACACCAGGGCCAGACAAGCCCGAGCCCTCAGAACCAGTTGGTGAAGTCCAGCAGCTCTTGCTCCTCGGGGCTGAGAGGATCATAAGAGCCTTCGTCGGACGAGTAGGATGAGACCGGAGAACCGGCCATGGAGTTCATGTCGTTGGAGTAGTTGGGAGAGATGGTGGGCGACAGGACGCCAGCCTGGAAGGCGGCGCTCACCGCGTCGTGTTCATCCAGCAGCTGCTGCAGCGCTCGGATGTACTCGACAGCCGAGCGCAGCGTCTCCACCTTGCTCATCTTCTTGTTGGCCGCACCGTTGGGGACGTGCTCCCGGAGGGTGGCAAAGCCCAAGTTGACCAATTTGACACGGTTGCGCTCGCGCTCATTACGGCGCGCCACGGCTGCGGGCTGCTGCTGCGGCAGGCTATAGCCGAAGCCGCTGAAGTTCAGCCGGCGTTTGCAGCGCATCAGTTCCGGAGAGGACGAGCGCTGTCGCTTGACTTGCTTGGGCGCTGACTTGTGACCGCCCCCTGAGGGCTGGCCGTCGGCCGCCGGGCTCAGCTGTGGCGCCTGCTGTTGCTGCTGCTGCTGCTGCGCGCTCTGAGCTGCCGCTGCAGCGGCTGCTGCCGCCGCAGCTGCAGCCGTGGCAAAGAAGCAGGCTGCCGGCGGCAGGAAGGGCTGCTGGGGCTGCGGCTGGGGCTGCTGGCCGGCGCCGCCGCTCTCCATCTTGGCAGAGCTTTCCATGCGCAGCGGCGGCCAAGGAGTCGCAGGATCAGAGTGAGCCCGGATGCAAGGTGCGGGGCAGGCGAGGGGTAGAATCAGAACTTGGGTGCACGAACAGAGAGGGAAGAAGGGGAGAGAAAAAGTGGGAGCCCAGAGGGAAGTTTTTTAAAAAGCAAAATCCCCGGGAGATTTCTTAGGGAGCAAAGAAGGTGCAAATGATTTTTCTCCTCCCTCTTTGCCTCCTCCTCCTCCCCTCCTCCTTTCGCGGGTTGGCTTTGGGAGCCTCGCGTGGCGCTCGCGTGTGAGTCTGTCGCTAGCGCCTTCTTGCTATTAAAAAAAGAAGAAGGAAGGAAGGAAGGAAGAAAAAGAAAAAGGAAGAAGTAGCCAAAGTCAGTGCTGAGTGTGCTCTGCGGAGTCTCGCGTCTCCGGATCCTCTCTACCTAAAGGTTGCGGTCTCTTGCGCCTGGTCCTGGTCTCTCAGCCCTGGCTCAGGCTGTTTTTATTATTTTGTTAACCCCCTTTCTTTCTTATTTCCTTCTTTCACTCTCTCTCCCTGACCGGCTCCCTGTCGGTGCGCCTTCCACGTTCCCTGGCCAGAAGTGAGAGTGCTGGGCGGCCGGAGCGCAGCCGCCTTTTCAATGGGACACCCAGCCCCACGCGCAGCCCTGGCCCCGCCTCGCCCCCCACTCCCCGCTGCTGTAGCGAGCGGCTGCAGCCCCCACTCCCCCTCCTCTTACCTCCTCCTCCCACCCACTCCCTAAACTCCCCCTCCTCCGCTCCCCTTCCCCCTCCTGTTCCCTGCGCCCGCTCCTTGCAAACTCTCCATTCAGCGGGGTTTGTTGTTGCAGTGCGTGCGCCTGGCGCGTGCCGGACTCCCGGCTGAATAAACAGGCGCCGCGCTAGGAGCGGGCTGCGGCCGGGGGTGGCTCTAGAAAGGGGGGGCCGGCTTCGCAGGAGGGGTAAATGGCTCTGGGAACTGAGGTGTACGGGTAGAAAGTTCTGGGGTGACATGCTCTTGGATTCTCCTGAGAAACTGGAACAAAATTCAGGGAAGGGTTTGGGCAGAAAGAGTGGCACAGGGGAGGTGTGAAGGTTAGGGGAGAATTGGGGCTCTACTTTTCCTCTTTACTTCTCCCCACTACTGCTCTCTCGGGGTTCTTCAATGGCAAGAACTGCAGTAGTTTTAAAATTAAAGTGTAGAAGCATGGAATGGAAACTCCATCCAGACAGAAGGAAAAGGACTGGACTCTGCGAAAGCTTGAGTTCTAGTTCCGTCCGGTCCTCTCAAGAGCTCTGTGGCTCTTGGTAAGTGCTATCCTCCTGAGCCTCGGTTTCCTCCTCTGTGGCCACAGAAGATTAGATTAGATGGTCTCTACCTCCCATCCTACCCTAATAACTAGGAGGTACCCACCACAATGGAGGAGTGGGAAAGATTATAATTAGTTCTGCAGGGAGGTGCCCCCCCCCCCCCCATACACCTCCTCGCGCCCTGGGTAACCTCGCACCGGTTCCCCAGAGGATTATTTCTAGACTGGCTGTGGGAAGCCCAAAGAGGAGAGCGCTCTGGGATATTTCCGGTCTTTCCAGAAGAAAGATGTGATGTGGGGTGGCAGAGGAGAGAGTGATGGAGCTTAGGGGACTGGAGGAGCTTCTTTGGCTGTTGGGCAGCGCTGCCGCAGGCTCCTCGGCGGCCTTGGCGCAGCCTCCATCCCGCCCCAGGCGTGTGCCCGGCGGCCGGTGGCAGGCGACTGGGAGCTGAGCCCGGTGGAGCCGTGTGCTGGCGCCACGAGGGTGGGGGAGGCGCCTGCAGCCGTCGCTCGGCGGCTTGGACAGCGCCTGCCCAGGCGCCCTTCCTGGGCCCTCGGCCTTGGCACTCTCTGGCCAGAACCCGGTCCAGCTTCTGGGGATACTGTGCTCTGGGCAAAGCAAACCAAGCAAATGATCTGGTGGAGCGGGAGGCTGGGTCTCATCTCAGGTCTACAGAGGCAGAATCAGAGAGAGTGCAATCTGGTGGATTTGTCCAATGGAAATAGTTTTGATCAGAGATCTAAGTGCAGGAGTGATTGTGAATTATCTGAATAATTGCTCTAAATGAACTTCCTTTATGAAGCTGGGTCTTTCTAAAGGGTCGGTGAGAGTGACCCAGGCAGCCACACTGGGCATGAGTGGCTGGTTATGAGTGTTTTCAGAACAATAATGATGGTGGGCAGTAAGAATAGTAGCTCCCCAGGTGAATCACGTCTCTTTTCTGCCTCAGTTTCCTCTATGTAGAAGAGGTAGGTTTGGGAAGCATATGACCTAGTCCTGCCAAGAAAGGTCTGTTCTGTAAACCTCACTCACACAGGCCCCAGGGCCCCCAGTAACCTGTGTCTTGTTGAATTCACAGGACTTCACTGAATCCTCCTGGATTTACTGGGAGGATGTCCTCATCCCAAGAAATAAACCAAGAGGTCTCCAGAGTCACATTTGTCTTTTCAGAAGTTTGGTTTCACCACCCAGCCTGGGCCTCTTTTGCTTTCCAACCTCAGGAAACCTCAGGCCACAGAAAGAATAAGATTATTCAGAAGCTGTCCACCATCCACATGCCCCACTGTGAGTCCTGGGTATGCCACTAGGAGGCCTCCACAGGCCTTACCCACTCCTCTCTGGCAAAAGTGGGGGCAGGCGACAAGCAGAAGAGCGTGTGGCTAACATCAATGCATATAAGTGCATTTTAATTCATGTTATGTTGAATCATGCAGGAGCCTTGAATTCCCATGCAACTTCAATTGTTCTACATTTGAAAAAGGTTCAGAAGAGTCCCAGCTGTACCACTGTGGTACGTTGTAACCTATAACAAGCCTCATCCCCTCTATATGCCTCAGTTTTCTGATCTGCACAGGAAAGGCCTATATTAGTTAATTTTGAAAACCATATCTAGGAGCACAGAAAATTTTCTGGTAGCCATGCGTATTCTGGAATGGGGGCTCCAGGCCTATACAGAGATCCTAATTACCAGAGACTTAAAAAATCAGAACAACACACATTGGCCATGAAATGGGCTCTAAATGTAAGTACCTTGTGAAATCTTGCAGTGCAGTGTTCCTGCTCCTTAGCCCCAGCTCTGGAGAGAGGATAACACGTATAGAAACCCTTCCAAGCAAAAGTACCTGAGAGTGTATCCCTAGTCTCCCTACTCCAACCCCAATTCTTTCCACTCTCATAGGCTAAGCCTGCTTCCATGCATGCTTTGCAAAGCTTTCCAGAAACCCAGGCATTGTTCTTTTTTTCCTCCAGGAAACTTAAGCACTCCAACACTGTATTCACCTCCTCCAAGCTTAAGGTAGAGCTGTCTAGATTTCTTTTTAGGAGTATGCAACTCTGCCCTCGGAGATGGTACAGAACAAGGAGAGTTTTCCTCTGAGACTAGTTTCCTGGCTCATTCTAATCTAGGCCTGGTCACCTCCTATACACCTCCTGTATGGGAGTCTAGTTTGGAGCAAAGGACTGAGGCTCAAGAGCCAAAATTGGTATCCTGCTTCTCACTCTGTGACCTAGATTATAACACACTCTTTTCCCTCTTGAGAGAACTGGCAGTGTGCTCTCCTAGGCCCAGGGAGCTCCAGATAAAGCAGAGGACTTGGCAGGTATCCAGACTTAATCACCTTGAGTACATCCTAGCTTACCTTCTGGGAGTCTTTGTTTCCTTACCTGTACCATGCAACAGGTACAACACTGTGAGATTTTGACCTGAAACACATGCAGCACTCTGGACTAGGTCTAGATAAGAGATCGATGAGGAAGTCACACTCATCCAGCCTGCCCAGGCAAGGTTTGAGAGAGGGTGTGTTGGTTAGCATTCCCATCACCACTATGAAATACCAGAGATGATTCATTCATAAAGATAAATGATTTAAGCTCTCCATTTGGGGGGTTTCAATCCATAATCTGTTGGCCCCGTGTTTTGGTGGAAGTGCACAGTGGAGGAAGACCAGTCACCTTACAGCCAGGAAGCGAAAGGGCAAGGAGTTCCACAATCACTTTCAAGGGCATGGCCCCAATGACCAAACATCTCTCAAAGCTAGTCAAAGCGCCACTTCCCAATAGCGCCACCCTGGTGACCAAGAGTTCTACACTTGGCCCTCTGGGAAATATTCCAGACCCAAAGTACAGCAGAGGAAAAGGTTCAGCTCTTGGCTTCCTGGAACCACACTGTGATAATTGCTCCAGCAGGTGGAAATCCAGTGCTACCATGTCTCCCTGTCTGAGCAGTTAGGGGTAAGTAATTCCTCTTATTCTTTAAGAATGACTGTGATTCTGGTAAATCAAGGTGATAGAGATAGCAAGCACATGTTTTAACTTGAGCAGTAGCAAGGAGCTTAAATATAGACATGCTATTATTTCATGTGACCTTCACATGAAAGTGGCTGTAGCACAGTCCCTGGCCCAGACGTACACATTGGCTTTCTGTGGTTCCCTTGCCACTCAGTGGGCCTGACTCTGAACAAGTCATCCAGGATTTCAATTAACCAGGATATTTGAACAAGGTCCCATTTATCTGAACATGGGAAGAAGAAAACAACTCACACAAGAAGAGTTCTGATACCTTCACTCACAAATGGGGTACCCTTTGCCTATTTGTGAAGGCTGTTATGAGAATGAAGTCAAATGCTGTTGCTGAGTTTGCTTTGCAAATATCCCACTTATACCAGGAATTGTCTTTCCATTCTTTCAACTAGTAGCATGCAAACAGAGTTCTGTCTTCAGGAGAACAAGACACTGACACTCATTGGTAAGTATTACCCCAAATAAAGGTATTCTAGGAAAATAGAAAGGTTTGATTTTTTCCTTCACTACAATAAGTGAATTCATTACTGTACCTTCAAACCACTTTCCTATGTCAGAACCTCCTGGAACTGGACCGTGCTTTCAGTTAGCTCTTATCAACACTTTGCACCAAGGTCCACTTAGGGGAAAATGACTTTCTCTTAATGATCCATACAGATCTGCAACCCAAAGATCGGAGACCCTGTTCCCTGGAGTCTCTTGCCACTTTAATTTCCACTCACAGCTGAAGGCCAGACCAGAATCACCTTTTCTCACATGCTATCCTCAAGCCCCAGAATCCTATGACCTCTTTCTGTGGGACCAAGATATGTCTCATTAAAAAAAAAAAAAAAAAGCCCATCTACATTTTTTTGTGGGAGAACAA